GCTAAAATAAACTTCTCTTCTTTCAAGTTGGGAGTACCAGGTATTGTGTCCCAGCAAAGGAAAAGTGACTAATCACAGCAGATCCCTCTTGGTGGATCCCCAAATGGACATTGTGAAGGGAGACTAGGAAGACGGAGAGAATTGGCTCCCACACATACGTAGTGGCTTCTGTGACTGCTGAAACATCGCTCCTGTCATGCTCCTTGGCTGGGAAATGTTGTGGATAAGATGATCTTCTTGAGAAAAGCCTTTGCTCATTTCCAACTAGATATATATTTAAAAGTATGAAGTGCATTTTTTTCCACAGACTGTTCCCTCCGTGTTGTAAGGCAATGGATGAATAGGTAATAACCAAAAGACATTTTAAGGAATCTGTATAGAAATGGATTCTAATTATGACAATGCTTTAAATCCATTGTTTGATCCTCAAGAATAATGCTTTTGTTGAGGAAATTATGTTAAAATGAAATTAATTCATCTTTGCAAAGGGACCAATGGATGAAAAGGTCTGTAAAGTGCAAATTGTTGTTATTAATTTACAAGATAAAGTGCTTGTTGTTTTGGGAATCAGTCCCAGAGCTGTCTTTTTTCCCATAATCTTATATTGTGGGTAGTTATACACAGACATTAATTTGATAAAGATAATTACAAGAATCTATCACTGCTGGAGTTTTAGTTTATTTCATTGTGAACTTTTGGGGGCTTTGGATTAGTTGATTAATTTATATTGTGTATGTGTTTGTTGGCGAATGCCTGAAATATTTACTAAAATTAATACTGAGCACGTTTTTACCTTTTCACAATGAATCTGTTTGATTAACAGCGCGGTATTTATTCAGTTAGGGATCTTAAATACCAGATGCAAATTTCAAATAATCACGTGAACAATCAAGTTCAAATATTTAACAGATCAGTGCAGAAAAGATTAAGTGGAAAATATACTTTAAAGGACAAGTGTGTGTGTGTGTGTGTGTGTGTGTGTGTGTGACAGAGAGAGAGACGTGGAGAGGGAGAGAGATAGAGAGGGAGGGAATCAGTGGTGTATTTTAACCCTTTCAGAACTTTATGGTGTGGCAGACACACAGATGGCAAAAGGGCGATGTTTTCCACTTTAGGAAATTTTCTCTTCTTTAAAAGTTTCATGTAACTTTTCCTTCTATATAAGGGAACAGCTTTCTATTCTAGTTGTGTGTAAGCATCACCAGGAGATCTTGTTAAAAATACAGATTCCTGGGCCTGTGGGATTCTGAATTGTAGTTCTGGTCTGAAAGCCTACACACCTTTACTTTTAATAAGCTCCCCTGGTAATTCTGATGCAGAGCTTGCTTTAGGAAGTTCTAAACTAAGGCATTCCTGTGGAAGTCTGCTCCTAGATAGAAACATGATATCATATTAATTTGTCCTTAAAATTGTAAACAGTAAAGCTTAAGGAAAAACATTGCTCTGTTTCCCTCAATGATCAAGTCTTATCCCCAACTTTATGTCTTCTTTTCTTATTGCCAGAGACCTTGAGACGCCTATCACCTCCAAGCAATATTGTTTCCCAGTTTCTTACCAAGGAAGCAGACACTTACCGATTTCCAGCCTAATCTTCTGACATTTAGGGTTAAAGCCACCTTAAGCCTAGCTCTGTTGACAAATGGGCCTTCTCCTTGCTCCCTGGATTCTGCTGCCTGTTGTGCTTCAGTGACTATGAGCTGGTCTCTGGATTCTTCCTTAAATCTTAGTGTTGAAAACCTGGTTGGTACCTTTGCCACCCTAGGATTGGAGCTCTGCCTTGATTTCCCTCGAATCTCCTCCCAAGGATGTTAGAACTTGCTTGAAAACCTTGATTTAGAGGCCAGACACATCTATAAGATGTTAGATTTTTCCCGTGTATCCTGGCATTCTTCACTCAGTAAAACCTGTTTCTGCTCTGATTCACCTCACCCACCTACCAAGATACTTTGTATTTCTAGCAATAGAACTTCTACCAACATCTTAAGAGTGTGTAAGCGGATTAAACCTAGCAATATATACCATGCGTTTTCTGTTTTGATTTTGTCCTCTTTCTCACTGTTCTGATCATAAGGATGAATTTAACAGCTGTTGATTTACTTTACTCTGATCTGTAAACTATGTCTGTCCTAATTTTGATTTCAAACAAATTAACATCCAGCTTATCACTTAGATAACAGAATTTAAAGAGGTCATTCCCGTCTTTGAGCATTTTCAAGGTTGTAATGCAAATGAGGGCTTAAAGATCCAAGTAAACCCTAAATGTGGCTGTCTGTGTATTCTCCCTGGTCTAACAAAGGTCAGACTAAAAACAGAGGGTTTTCTCTCTCTAGAGGGCTCAGTAAGAAGCTGCATGATCATGGAAGATCCCATAAGAAAGATCCAAAATTAGGGTTTATCTACCCCAGCTTTGAGAACAACAAGTCATCGTTCATGACCAAGTTAATAGCCAGGGCTGCAAAAAGCATCAGCTCTGCTGTATGGAGTTGTAGATGGATTATACTGGATTTCTCAGAAGAGGTTGATGGAATATATTGGTATAAGGTAATATGATAAATGTCTTAAATACATGATCCTCAGTATAATTTAGTTTTTTATCTAACCCAAGACTCTAAAGCCACTTGCTCTGTAATGATGAAAATAAAAAAGGTGACTTGTCAAAGGTACAGGGGGTCAGGAAGTGTTGGTTTGGGAATAATTTTTCAAAAGACCTTGGAAGTTTAATCATTACACAAGCCTTGACCTTCTATTATGTCTTATCCATTAGAAAGGTTGGTTAAATCACACAGTTATCTACGAATCTTGATGTTTCATTAGACCATGTGTCTCAGAACAGTTTTTTACCAGTCAAATGACAGGCTTGGATGCTGCTAAGCTGAATCGGGGAAGAGCATAGTCTCAAAAGTCTACCCTGCAGTAAGATGGGTTCTGATACAGATTGGGCTTCCCCAGACAGGCCTACAAGTCTGAGAAAGCTCCTGAGGCTAAGAAGGGGGTTGAGAGAATGTTTTGGACTATCCACACCTGGGCCAGCTCTTAGAGCTAGAATGCAGAATACCTTAACTTTCAGTAAAAGAGGATGACAGATGATGGATATTAGTGGCTAATCTTTTTCCTTAGATAGGAATTCATAGGATTGGGTACGAATCTTGGGCCCCATGAAGCTAAACACACTTTTGCATTGACTGCCTTGCCAGCATCCCTTCAGGGTCAGGGTGGATAATGAAGCAGTCCCACCTTCCCCCTTTATTATGCACCTGGGCACTGCCAGCTGGGCTGACCTTCCATTATGATCAGCATCGCTTCTGTCTTCAGATGATGTCAAGGCCCTGGAGATCTGTTTAGGCAGAGTATTGCTCTAAGTCTCCATGTTTATCTGACTTAGTCACCTAACATGGAAAAATAATGGAAACAAACACCTTGAAAGAAACTCTACAAAAATATCTATAAAGTCAATTTTAGTAAGCATTGAGTGCTGTAAATTTCAGATGAAGTACTTCCTTTGTGTTTTCAGTGGAGCTTCATGAGTGACTGGCATGGCATGGCAATTACAAACAGCTAGGAAAACTCAAGCTATGTTTTGACCTCAAAGGTTTAATCCTTGAAGTCTCCAGGATGACAACTGTAAAGCATTCTCTTAAGCTAAGTAGGGTCAACAGAACACAGAATTTTGCTACCAGTAAATATCTATAGGTACTCACAAAATACTTGGCAAACATATTCATATGTTTTAACTACTTACTGTTCTTTGTATCAGTTGATGGTAAAGTAAAGGTAGGAAGATGCACTCTGTTAGTTTACTTCAAATGAAGATCACCTGTTAGCCTTATTTCTCCTCAAAGGGGTTAATCTAAGGAACACAGGCTTTCGGAATTGTGTCACTATTTCAGGAAATGTTAGGAGAGACACTCAGATCATAGCACCCATTTGTCCTGGGGAGAGTTATGCAAATTACTGGAACTTAAATATATTTCAATTTCTATTTCTTGAGCATGCACACTTTTCTAGGGTTTTTGATGATTGAAAAAAAGAAATTTGAAGCCCGTAAATTTGCAGCATTCAATGTCATAAATGCTCATTTCTGAACTGTGATTGTATATTGTTTCATGGCGCATGCTGACACGTGCTTATTCCTGTCATAGCCAGGATGATGTGCTTTAGGCTGATTACAGTTTGAGATGACTCTTAATGGAGATTCTAGGCATAGCCAATATAATACAATATGGCATATACCTATTGTGTTAGCTAGGTTAAGACTTTCATCAATTATTAAGACAAATGCAGCTCTTTTCTAACACTTAACACCAAATTTTAACTAGCTTAGACTCAGCTTTACTAAGGAAATTATCTAAGCAAACAGGCGTGTACTATTCTCTTTTGACTGAAAATAAACATGTTCACTGATCTCCAATTTTGCTGCTTGTGGTGACAGAACAGAGAAAAAAGAGCCACAAAAATATAGGCCAGAGAGGGATGTGGCTGGTAGTTTGATCAGGACCGGAAACCACATAAAGAATGAAGGTGTTTCTCTAGAAAGCAATATAAAACAAAATCCAAAACAAAGAGCAGGCATCTTGTAGAAAATTCATACATAGGTAAGCAGGCAGATGATAGGTACATAGTTAGCCACAAGGAATGTGTGGCTTCTCACTTTTTCTCCTTCCATGAAGACTTTTAGATATAAGTAGAATATTTCAAAATAGCAGAGGAGCCACAAAAGTGCTATGGCATACCCTGGGCAGAGAAATTGCCTAAACTGTGTAAGGCTCTTTCCTGCCTTTGTTCTTTACAAAAATAATCTAAACTCTCTCAAGTGGTTTCAAGGCCTGACTTGATAAAATCCCTACCTGCCCCTTCAGCCACATGTGTGCTTTGTTCATTCTGCGCCTCTCAAACCGACCTTCTTTTATTTCCTTGACATGTCGCATCCTCTGTGGAAACTGGCTGGATTACCCTTCTCTCCTCAGTCCAACCCTTTTTTTTTTCTTCTTCTTGTTTTTTAGGTCTCCGCTGAAGTGTTGCTTCCTCAAAGAGGCCCTTCCTGATTTCTCCATCTCCCTACTAAGTGTAGGTCTCCCCCACCAAATATTTCTATAATACACTAATTTCCGTTCTAGCATTCAATACTGTTGAATTAGTCTGTTTTATGTTTTTTCCATTATACTATGAGCTCTATGTATGCATCATTATATTAGCCCAATGATACTTCCACTTGGATTTTGACCAAGTTTTCTGGATGTATTAATAAGTAAAGCAGACTACTGAGTTTCCAGGGAAAATGAACACTTATCTGTAAAATTTGAGAAATAATAAGTTCTCATGGGTCATTGTGAAACGTCATGTAAAGCAGTGACTGAAATTTCTCATATACACATCTTACTGATTTGTATCTAGTAAGTCAGTTTCAGTTCTTTTATTGGAATTAGTAGTATGGAAACTAATACATAATTACACATCTCTTCTTAGATGTATCAGAATGCTTGAACTCTACAGAGTCAAAACAAAATGTTTTCTTTTTCTTTAATCCTGTACCCAACTTCAGTGAGCAAGGCTCCCTTGTTCAGCGTGCATTACCACCCTTAACTTCTTCTTCCCTTTAGCCAAGCCTTGAACAGGTCCCATCAGTTTTATATGTCTCCAATCCATCCATATTTACTCATGGGAAGTTCTTCTATGCTAGAGTCTAGCATTGTTCTTGTGAGTCTTTAGTCATATGGAACCAGAGCTATTGTTGGTTTGGTCAACACAATTAAGGATAAAGAATCAACAGCTGCATCTTGAACACAAATTTGGACTAGATATAGATTTTAGAAGTACCATTCATATCTCACAAATAGTTAGAAAAAACTGTTGCTTAATCTTGGACATATCCCCCCATAAATCACCGTTAGGAAAATCTTTTGTTGTGAAGCAGAACTCTCGTCCCGTGGTATATTCTAGAAAAACAGTACATGTAACATGGAAAGATGGCTCTTGTGGAAGAATTAGAGAAGACATGTTAGTGAACAGAATGAAAAGGCTTGCATTTGTATCAGGTAAGCATAAAGAGAATAAATTCTGATGAATCCTTTGATTTCTTTGGAAGCAAACTGGTTTGTTGAACAGCACTACTTAGGTCTCCTGTGGCAGGAGAAAGAATTTTCTACTCAGCCAGCATACTGTTTGCCCAGCTGTGAGCAGATGAAATTTTGCATCTGAGCACAGATGAGATTAAAAAGAAAAAAAAAAACCCCTGAAAATCCGAGCTAAAAATATCTATATCCACTTAACACAAGCAAATATACCATGGGGAAATGCCAAACCAAATTAAGTCTGTAAGTCTCCTTTTAGGTGAGAATCTTTATCTTTGCCCCTTGAGGAAATGTGGTGGCTTTTCAGGGACATATGCTGCCCCTAAGAAGAGGCCTTTTTCTTAAACTTTTCCATTATTTTCTTTAAATAATAAAACACCTGGTCTCACAAAGCATGTCGATGAAGGACAAGATGAGGAAAGACTTATTGAAAAGATGTCTTTGAATATGGATGCAAATATAGACTCTTGCGTTTCCTGAGGCAGCCCATACCCTTTTCACTGACCTCAATACGAATTGAGTCCATTATTATAATAAAACAGTAGTTCTCCACCAATGTGTCTTATCCAATGTCATTGTGTTTAAGAAGCCTGATTTCTTTTGTCACAAAAAGTAACATCCACTAAATTATCTGGAAGGAATTGAAGTTCATTTGATAAAACACTTAGTAATTTTAAAAGCTGGCACCAAGAGCATTGGGGAAATATGAGAAGATGGAAAGAAATAAAAGACCATACAAAGTTAATGATCACTTAAGGACTATTATTTATTAATTCATTTCTCTAATGTGGAAAAATAAAGTGTTTGAGTGAAATACAGGCAGTTGTTTGTGATTACAGGAACAATATGATCCCTCCAAAATATGCCAGAAATTACAAATCAGGTGAAGCTTATTATGTCTTTCATAGGGCGTGACAGACTACTTTGTATCTAGTTGTCCCTTTCTGGCCATTCATTAAAAGGCACGCTTTCTACATGTGCCAGCATCTCACACATTTTTTGTGAGTTACTGTGAATCCCAGATTAACAGCAGAATGAATCTCTGTATAGTTGTCACCTGGAGTGTAAACTCCCTTAGTTCTAGTGCTTATGTCTGGGTCCCCAGCATTCTTGGTGAGCTGCTCTGTCCTTCAGAAAAGTTAGAGGTCCAAGTCTTTCTTATGCAGTCCTGTGCTACATTGTCATATCTTATAGGGTTCTTCTGCAAAATCATAACTTGCCTATCTTGTCTTTTATTGTTGAGTGTATTTAACCTGTTTATCTTTAAGATACTCATTCTTATACTACTAGTGGTAAACTGGTTAGTCCTATATCTGCCTTTCTTAATAAATTTTGGTCTTAATAGTGTCAAAACAAGTACCCCCACCAACATAGCCAAATATCATGTAGACCTCTTCCAGTTTTTTCTATTATTTTGGCTTTTTAGTATACCTAGAATAAGTCTATATTTTTTTCTACCGTTTACGAGGTTCTGGCCTCTACATACTGCTTTTGATGCATTTCCTTTCCCTCTCCTCCTTGCCTTCTGTACTCCAACTGTGCTAGTCTTAGGTTGTTTTCAACACACAGGAAGCCCTTTTTCCTTCTCCAGTACTTTTGTACTTGCTCTTCCCTCTATTTTGAGCGCTACTATTTGTTACCTTCTTATGTGAAGCTTCTCAATAAATTTAATATTTTCAGAGATATTTTTCGTGACCATGCTGCCTGAAGTAGATTTATTTTATTGAACACTTAAAATGGCACACGTAACCAATTTATTTTCTCATCTATTTCTTAGCGTGAATCTCTGAATAAAGTTCAAGCCCCATAAAGGCAAGATCTGTATATGCCTGGCCATCAGCACCTCCCAGCTTTTATTGGGTCTTATACTAACAGATAAGTATGGAAATGTTAGAAATAAATTTTTAGCTAAGATAAAGTATTCTTCACTTGAAGAAAATTCATTAAACAAAAAATCAAATGTATAAAAAAGTAATAAAATCAATTCTCCCAAGAAAGGAGTATTTTGTTCTGACATACAGACTTCCATTTGCAAACTACACAATTGCATAGTGATTGCATCATATTTCATGAAAACCATGGAGCATAGTTAGAAGATGACTCATACTAGAAACGAAGGCCAAAATGGCACCAAATTTGGCCCTTTGCATGGGATATAAGTCAGGTGTGAATGAAAACCTTGCAAAGTAGCATAAAGTATGATGTACTGTCTTAGTGTTTCTCTGTTGCATCCTCAGCCCAGACACAGTAGCTGGCACCTGGTACGCTCTCATGTACCTGTTGAATGAATAAATGAATTCATGTATCCTTCTAAAAGGTGGCAATCTTTATTTACACTTATGCTATTTTTATCACTCTTCTTTATCACTCAGTCTTTTGTGTGTGTGCTAAAAGAACATATTGCTGATTTTATATCAAAAGTCTGTAGGGAAACAAGATTCACTTTATAGCCAATTTTGTTGAAATATATTGGCCCTGCAAAGCAAAAGACATTTACATTTTGAAATATGCATTGTTGTCTAGGCCATACCACCCGCAGTGCACCCCAGCTCATCTGAAATCGCGCGTTGTCCTTTACCTTTCAAAAACATAGTAGTTTTCCTTTGCTGTTTCTTAGTTTAATCTGTCCGCAAAGCCAAATAAATGAAAGAAATTGAATGTGTCTTGACTTTGAACTACATTGTAGCAAGGTGACTTTTATTTAGTTCATGTACTGTAATTATTAAGGAACTACTGTTTTGTGTAGATAATTGTTTTCTTCATAAATTATTATTGTTGGATTATAAAATAATGCAATGCTAACAGGAAAATGTTACCAGTGTTTTCAGTTTAGTCTAACCCTGAACAGTGTTAGGTAAAATATTGATACTAAGACATTGTTTTAACCTGTTAAACTCTTAATATTAAAAACAACAAAAATACAAAATAATAAGACTGCAAGAGATATAATGTCCTTGAATACTGCCAATGAGAGGAGAAATTGTTGTAATGATTTTGAAAGCAGTTTAGATATAAATACCTTAAACATATCACGGTATTTTAAATCAGGCTTGTAATTTCTAGGAGTTAAAAATACACACATAGAGCTTTACACATGGATTTATAAATGCAATGCTCAGCATAGTATCAGCAAGGGTAACAAAGAAGCATTAAAATGTCCAAATTCTTGAGATGTGGCATATGAATAATGACATATGATGATTGTATATTCTGAAGTGCCATTCACATTAATGTTTAAAATCACAAAGAGTATTTAATAACATGGGGAAGATTCTTCATTTTTAAAATTCATTGAAAAAGTTTGGAAATAAAGGATTAAGTGTAGAAGAGATAGAAGAGCTATATTTGGTGGATCGCAGTTTGTTACTTTGTTAGTTTGGCTTGCATTGTAGTCAATTTTTATTTAAAAATCAGGATATTTCTACTTTAAAACTGCTGTATTTCAGATCCTCTCTAATATCCTAGGCCTTTGGCAAGACTCACAGAAATGCAGCAAACAGCTGGAGTGAGGGAGCTATTTTCTCTCTGGCTGCACATGTTATGTAATTCTGATGGTTACCCCCTGACCTGTGGAACTTACTTGTGTTACCTGCTTGGCCCCTAAGAAGTGTGTTCCCAGTTTTGCAAAAAGTCCAGCTTTATCCATGAAATGTTATGAAAACTTCTCTGAGGGTGGCAGGATAAAGGGTGGGTCTCATTTTCTTCTATATAGATTTTACATTTTTTAAATTATACAATAAAATATGTATATTCTGATTAGAAGAGAGTAACTATTATTTTTTAAAATGTAAAATCATTAAACACCATGGAGCTAAAAGATTACAAAAAGGAAAATGTTAACATTAATCTTTGCAGAAGATTATGTTCCTGAATCCTCTCTCCAAAATAATGGGCCAGATTATTGATGCTGTTTCATTCACAGTGTTTTCCCCATTATTTAATACAAACACATTATTGAAAACTAAGTGAGATGGAGCAGTTCTACTAAACAAAATTTTTTTCTCATCTCTGGGACAAAATACCCAACACTGTATCATGAGCAGCTTTTCCTCAGCTGTGCCCTTCTGCTGCTTCTGCCTTGGAGCTGGCTGATGATGGATTGAAACTGTGAGCCAAAATAAACGTCCCCTTTAAGCTGTGAGTGTTGGGTATTCTGTCACAGTGATGAGAAAGTGACTAGGGAAAGATTACAAATAATGGGTCCGGAAAAGGTTTATACGGAATGTTTTATACTGCTCTTAAACATTTATTTTCTATAAATTTAAAATTATATCAAATTGAAACTTTCAAAAATAGTCTTATTATAAAATATCTTTTCTGGTCTCCTGTTGTGATATTTGGAACACTGAGCTTCAGTTCCACCCGACACAGTGCTGAGAAATCCATGTCCTTTCCTGGAACTATACTTTCCAACACACCATTTCATCTTCCCACATTTTTATCTGTGATTTCTCTATTTCTGTGAAGCCACGTCCTTTAAGACCTAGACTAATGGCCATTAATTCTCTAAGATTCTAGCTTTACTCCTCTTGAGTTGTTCCTTTCTCTGTTGGTCCTCAGCATATGGTCCATGATGTTAATGCAGTCTATTATTAGAGTAAGCTGTGTTGTACCATGAAACAAAAAGGTAATTTATTGAGGTTTTCTTTTTATGACAGCCAGATGTTTGGTAAAGACTGGCAACTGGGCTTTGCTCATGTGGTTAAACTATCTTCATAGGTTCTTCCATGTTTGCTTATCTGGAAGAAAGGGAAGTAGGACATTAAGAGACTTAAAGCTCCTTACCTGAAATAACTCAATTCACTTCTGTTTCTTTTTCCTTGACTAAAGTGAGTTATATGGACAAAACAATTTTCCCAAAGGGTGGGAAATATGATCTTCCTACAAAGAAACTGAATATCTCTGAGGAAGCCCACTCGCAGGGTTTATCAAATCACACCAAAGCTATCATGGGCTAGCAGTGTCTGTGTCCTAGACATTCCTGCATTTAACCCCTCAAGCCTGCTGTTTAGTGTTGAAGAGATACTGAATGAGTGTCATCTGATTGAACGGACATCAAGTGAGTTCCTCAAAGTTACAGAACCTTTGGGATTTGGATACATGTCTGAATTTCTAGCCCTACACACTTTCTTTCATATCACACAATAAAAATACATAGACTTTCTTGACATGGTACCATTCTAATGAAGTTGTTACCTGCCGGTAGGAAGTATTCCAACTTTACTATGCCAGTTAATATTTTATAGACCTCAAACTATATGCGATAACCTATTTTAAAACCTGCCTGCGGCCAAAGAAATACATTGATTAAAATTCAATAGACACATTTTATTTTTCCAACTTGCTATGATTTCTCATTTCTGCTTTGGAGAGTCTCATTTCCATTATTTCTCTTTCATAGCTTTTTTCATTACAAATGAGACTACAGGCTCTTTTAGAATTGCATGCCTTTAATAACAAAGGCTAAGAAAATTCCAAGACTTCACAAGGTACTGAAAATATCAAAGTTCATGGTAAGAAGTCCAAAATAATCTCACCAGTAAGGCATACGTTTATGATTAAATTATAAAAGTAAAAAATGATTTTGGTGAATTTTTTTAGTTTCTTATTGACCATCTATCTATATTATTTATATCATCATCATCATAATTATCATAACAATAAGTCACTAGTGGCCATATTTATATCTCTTTGGGAATGAGAATGGTGGAATTGTCTGGAGCAATATCGCTGAGAAATAATTTATTCTGAGAGAGAGAGAGAGAGAGAGAGAGATGACCTGATAGGTATATTGAATCATTATTACTTCAGGGAAGGCAACAAAATACCCAATCTCGTAAAGATCAGCATGGATTTTAGTAAAAGCAAAATTTCAATGCATGGCAGAAATGAATAGAGGATAAATTCAGGAGGTGGCATTCAGGAGTAACTCAACTGAGAGCGTCTGTTGTGGGCTGGATTCCAGGAAGCTGAGTTACATGGAAGGTTCATTTCTTATTCTACTGTGATGGCTGCCAGGTTGGGGAGCCACGTTACTCATAGAATAAATGCTGTGGCTACTTCTGCTACCAACAATTGATATATGGCAAACTTGGTATTGCTTCCCTGACCCAGACTTCCAAATGCAGAATGAAGCCATTTTATATATCTTTGATTTGGGATAAAGTTTTGATATTTCCCTGTGAGGTGAGCAATCTAAGCACAAGATCATTTTGTAAAACTTGTAACTAAGATGAGCAAGCCTGCTCTTATAACATAAAATTGGCAGGAACTTATGCTTGAAATTTGAATAGAGCTCGACTGAATCTGCACAAGTTTGAAGAGGCACAGATGATTTAACGCAAATTGCTGTTTATGGAATGCTTCTTTGGGCACATCTGCTGGATCCCATTGGGATGAAAATGGATGAGAAGACAGAAGTACTTTAGTTAAAGTAACTATTGTCTTTTTGTTTGCTTTCCCACATTCAATAGGAATAAAAATATTTAGTAATATAAAAATCTAACACAGTACACTATTATTGAGTTAAGACCTCTGCTGTATTACTTAGAGCTGATATTGTTTTCCCACTTTGCTGATGAAGACAATGAAGCTCGGGTAGATAAAAATATTATCCAGTGGTCAATAGCAGTAAGTGGAAGAACCAGGATTTCAATTTGAGGACGTGTTCTAGAATCTAGTAGTTCAAATGCATTGTGCTATGAGAACCATTTCAGATAGTACAGAGTAATAAGTAATAGTTCTGGATAGATTAGGTTACATAACACACAAATAGAATAATTTAATTAAAATAATGACAGAAAACTCAGAAAACATCACTTTGTCACCCTAAAC